AAGGTCTGCTCCTAATCTCAATCTGTTCCTGTGTCTTGGATCTTTTGTTACCAAAAATAAGCTATTAAAGTATGCGCTTTGCTGTTATTTTAGCGTGCTTTTCCTTTTAGGCCGATAATATTATGTAGTTGGACATCTAGTTTTTTTATTGAGCATATGATTCACTTCGTGGCTAACAGGTGGTGAGTGGTTAATGTGTACATCGTTAATTATATTAAACTCGGTAATTTTTAGCTCTGCGCTATTTGTTTACTACATTGTCTGATTCATCGCTTTTTAACTTTATTTTACATTTAGACTTCCTGTATTTACCCAGTCTCTTACCTACGAACGTAGCTCTGACCATTCGACACCTGCTGCAGCACCAACCTTGGCGATCATCCTCCTCCTCCATCCCAAAGGTGGACAATGGATGTGAATTCAGGCCGGTTTCCAGCGCGGTTACCCTCGCGTGTCCTCCACTGGGTACCACCTTCGCCAATGTTCAATCCTCTGCCGATCGCTTCTTCACTAAGTTCCGAAGTGTGTAAGTTGACTCCTCTTCCATTACATGCTTGCCACATAGGTCGACATGTCAAATGACCAATAATGTTTCTATACGTTTCTTGTGAATCATCATTATTTTGGTTTTTCATCATCTCACTACTGACGTCCTAGGCATGTCTTAGTCGAACATCATGATAGCGAGTAATAATTGTTATTTGGTACCCATTCTGAGAGATTTTGGTTCAGTGGGCAGCACTTTCCCTTAGGAAGCATTTATGCGCTCCGTTTGAGTCCTCTCAGTTGAGCATTGTGGAGCGTTGTCTGCTGACGGCTCAGCTATTTGGCGACTCTTACGAGACGGCCTTTTGGCGTGTGGCGGCGTCCCAACTCTTGACGACGAAAATATCTACGGAGGCAGGAATGGCGTCTGCGGCCAGCCGGTCGCGACGCTTTGGCCTCACTGACCTCGTCTGGGATGAGCTGACCGAGGAGTCGACCTACCGCGCGGCCGTAGTCGAACGGGTCAATCGTCTCTTACACGAGGCCACCGCTGAGCAAAGCAAACTCCGCACGCAATTCCTTCTTATGTTAGGTATTTTCATCTTAGCTCACTCTATCGGTACTGATGAATTCCCTTCCGTTTTTAGGTGCCATAAGCGAAGTTATACTTGTTTTCTGTTCTGTTTTGTCAGTATGCTGTTAATGATGCTACGTCAGAAAATTACGTATTTTGGTTTAACTGGTCCCGTATCTAGTAATTGGATTTTAGCTGACTGCAGCTGAACAACACTTGCTGTTTTACTCTGATACGGTCGTCCTGCTTATCTTCTAACGGATTTGACTCCCCCATAATGCAGTTTTTTTGTAGTCCACGTCTTGGGAATAAGTGAAACATGATTTAACGTTGCACAGACTAGTTTAGCAGACAGCAGTGCGCGCACTTTTTTTCCTCTGAAGTGGTCTAAACACACGCTACAATGAGTCATATTTTCAAAACTGTGCTTACTGGGTATGCTTGGGGTCCCAGAAAGCGATCCAATTTGATTGCCTAGAAGTTTCCATTTAATAACTAGTATCATAGCATTCTAGAGCCGTGCTCACACTGTCTTCCCAATGGGCTCTCATCGCTCATAGATGTACTCCAAGTGTACTGACAATCACCTTAAGGGTGAGATTAATCGTGCTACAGTTACGCGTAATTGAAACAGCCGAGACACACAAACGGACCTCATCATCCAACTTTCAGGCGCTTACGCATTCGCCCTACTTCGTTTTGCTCATCTACATACGTCGACAAAAGGGACATCTGTACTGAAGTCTTGGCCGATTGATTATCCGGTTATAGGCTCGATAGGATCGAGGCCACGCAGGCACAAACCCCAGCTTATAGCAGCACTATATTTAACAATTCCATTCTCTAGGCTTTCGACACGAGGCGATAGAATACCTGACCGGGTACCCAACGGAGTCAGCGTCCTTCAGTTTTAACATCCACCGCGCCTGCCTCCTGGCCTCACAGGGCTATATTCGTGACTTGGAAGCTGCCATCGCGGACGGTGAGAGCGAGTCACTCTCCGCGGCGAGGCTGAACTACACGAGTTCAGTGAAACTCTTGGCTGCAAGTCTCATCTCTACCAACCGCCTCTATGAGGGTGTGGAGATGCTCTGCATGCTGGGCATGCATCTGGAGGCTTGCCAATATCTGGAGACCTACAGGGAATGGGAGACTGCTATTTGGCTAGCCAAGGTAAAATTAAATTCCACTCCAAAGTACTAGGTACTCCATTACCAGTCTGAAACAGGCTTTTTATCATCTGTAGTGTACCTTAAGCAAAAAAGAGTGTGACGGTGTAATGCATCGTTGGGCCACCTATCTCGCATCTACAGCGAATTGCAAGGTCTGTTTTCCCATTTTCCTGCATTTCTTGCTGGCGATCGCCTTGTTGTGTCTTTTTTCGGGTAGTTTTATTTTGAGGCCAAATGTAGCAACCTAAGCGACTGGATGGACAGAGGCGTTTGTCTACTAGACTTAAAATTGTTGCTTGATAATGAGGAAGTCGACCACCCATCAATTTGGCTAGGCCCTTTCTATTCTCACTGTAGAAGCTGTTATGTGGCTAGATGGATGATTGGTATTGCGCCACGAATAGTGTACCAGTTACAGCTACCCGTCAATCTTAATTTTGCGTTGCTTGATCTGCGCTGCATGCGGTCCTCCCAGCGACACAAATGAATTTGCTTACTTGTAGACGCTGGCGATTCTGGTTTTGGTGTACCTCGGACAACATAATTCAGTTCTCAGTCTGCTTAAAAGTCTCCGACAGCATCAGCTGGCAGCCAGGTATCTTGAAGCCTGTCTTGAATGTCGTGCGGTGATCCCTGATCCGAAGACAGGTAGGCGCGATCGAATGTTTTATCCTAGCTTTTATATCATCAAATAGCCTTTTGTTGATGCCTATCTCTTGAAATTACATAGTGTCAGATAATAGCTCAGGCCTTAATTGCTAGAACTAATGCTACTGTTCCTATTTACAATTGTACAAGGAAGATAGCAGAGCTTCATTTGTAAAACCCACATACCGATGAATCCCTTCATGCGCATAATAGTCTCCAAACTCTCCTTTACAGAAGAACTACACTCGCAAGTGTTCCTTGAATTTGCCACGACACTAACCAGCATTGGGCAGAGAGAGGCCGCTCTGTACTACGCAGGACTGGCAGGCGATTTGGGCAAACCGCTGCGGGATGAAATTGACTTCCTTCTGAACTGAAATTCGCCTTCAATGCGTCGATCCCCCTCTCTGTGATAAGACACCTCTTTCCCACCCCGAACTGGTTACTTTTGCATGAACCTTACTGTACCTTACACAGATTTTAGCAGTTATTATGTTTTGCCATGTCTTTAATAAGAACCCTCTTGTGTTTCGAAGTCCTGCTCCGCTTACACTGGCACTGTTTAAACCCTGTAACTTTTTACGCCGCAAGCTTAGGGACACGAAGGCTCAGCTAGCAGCAAAACGATTAAAGAATTAGTGGCATGGCTATTAACGATGAAGTTGCGCACCATAACCTGTCGCCAGATTATTTCAATTCGTGATACACTGACGGCGCAAGCACGGCAGAATATTGATGCCGTTGCTTGATAAGGAACTAACTACTTATTGAGTACCCTCCTAACTGCTTTTTACGGGCAATCGATGGTGACGACGATCCACACCGTGTAACTGGAATCATCAGTTTGCTCCCTTTGAACTACCGATGCGCAGCAGCTCGGGGTTTGAACTCTCCTCGTTCGCCGATAGTCCAAATGACTGGCATATTAACTACAGCACGAAATATCACTGCCGGGCTAGCACCTCGCTTGCCAGGTACCCAATCAGTGAATACATCCGTTGCGAAATCGTTTAACGTACCCTTTCACCCTCATTATTAGTTGCGATGACAGTCGTCATAACTGCAACGAGAGGGAGGGTTTCTATGGGGCCAAAATATGTTGCAGGTACAAAAAATTCAAAAAATAAGGATTTATTGGAACTTCAGATGCCTATAACAGGGGAGGAAAGGTTTAAGATGTCGGAATGGGGCGATTTTTGTCCAGTGATAGTGAGCCGTTCCTTCTTGATCCGTGCCAGGTAGGCGCCATGTAAGCGATAGCTCGACCAAATTGCAAGTTGGGCAAGACCTACGAGGAGAACGAGGGACCAGGCAAGGGTGAAGCAGGCGACGCGCAGGGTGTCTGCAGCAACACTCACCCCGCCCTTGTATCCACCGGTCAGGAGAGAGAGCAAAGCGTAGCCGACGAGAGGCGCGAAGCTCTGGCCCGGTCTACCTAGCAGCGACGTCGCCCCGAATATGAGCGCTGACACGGGCTGTGGCCGCCGATTCAGCACCAAGTCCTCATCCACCAGGTCGCTTATCACTTGAGGCAGCAACCTGCAAATTCCCTCTGTGAAGACGCGATTACTGGATAGGCAAAAAATACAACCCTTTGATATCTCTTCAGTATTCTGCGAGGTCTTTCGGATCTAGGCACTTATCGAATTTCGTTTGTCCAACAGCAGGAAGTCAATTGCAAGGCAAGAAAAATCCAAGTTTATGCTTAAAGGTAAGGTTCATCATTGGATTTGAGGGTTGCTCTTTAAAAAATCGCATTGATTAGACACTTCCAACAGAAAGTTGCTAATATCACTTTTCTACTTGAGTATGAAATTAGGTGATGGGCGCGATTTCATGCTTCTAAATCGTCACGTTATCCCAAATTTCCTCACTCAATGCAAAGTATTTAGTCGAAACTACCTAGCCAAAAAGAGACTCATCACCATTAAGTTGGAGGGGCCTGAAAACAGGAGGAAAATGCCAAGAACGACTTTGAGGAAAAAAAGGTCACGGATGACCACGTAAGTTCCATAGACCTCACTGGCTTTCAGTAGGAACACGTTGTTGATATGCGGCAGCACAAAAGACATCCCTAACGAGAATTACAAAAGGGTCTTGAAAAAAAGCAAAAGGTAATGACAATTTGCCTTGTAATGTATGCAACTTACCCAATATTGCACAGGAGAGGTTCTCGTGACCCAGACCCAGGAGTGATTTTGAGAATAGTGGAAAGAAGTTACTATTGAAGTGACAGTGGAATACCTAAACAAAAGAAGTGAGCACACTCACTCTTGATCGAAATTGTCTTTGAAGTTTGCACAGAATAAAACGCTTGTGGTAAGGTTAAACTAGTGTGCAATTCCCACTCAAGTGGTGGTGCCGTGAATAATCAAGTTCAATAATACGAACCTAAAGCATCACAGACGAAGTGAATCCAAATGTCAGATGCACCGCATGAACGCCTGACTAGATATCTCATCAAAGTAACTTATGAAACCAAATTAACGAAGAATTCGCAATGATGTAAACCAAAAGCTGTGCAAACTAGTACATCTGTGTAGGGTTAAACAGAGATCGATTGGAATCCAAAAAACGGAAATTCTAAAGGTTATCGGTAATGCAGAAGCCTTTAGATTGAACGGCATGGATAACACACGATTTTCATCCTCGGGAGTCTACTCGGCATCACTGGAAAGCGCATAAAATTGAGGTAAAAAAGAACCAGAAATAGACAACTCACTTGAAGTGCCTGCATCAAACTGAAGGTAAGAAAACTTGGGCGTAATAGGATTCCCAAAATGAATGCAAACATGTTTTGCACTTCACTCGTATCTCTCGAGCCGAAATTACGTTCAAGTTGTTCGGGTTGTAACGGAGTTTTCTCTAGAGGGGTCTCACAGCTAAATCAAAAAAAAACGGAACCTCGGCACAAGGTAGGCCTTTTGCATGATAAAATGCTTTCCTGCGAATTCTTATTTGGTGACTTAAGAGTAGTTTTTTGCTCTTCAAATTATAAATTGTTGTTAAAACACACTAGTCAGTTTTTTAGCTTGCGAAAAATTATTTTTTCCTAATGGATTTAAAACACCAGAAAAGTGAGCCAATTAAAACCATACTCCCCTGCAGGCAATTATTTACCATGCTAAGTGTGAATTGAGATCCGAATCCGACATTCTAGCGAGCCACTGTCCTCCGCAGAAAATTCCGATTGCTGAGAACATCGCGATGCCAAAGGCTAAAGTTTGGAAATCGTGGAGCATGGATTGCGATTGTGAGGTGTACCTGCCATAGTCGAATGAATTTCCCAGTAGTAACACATTCTTGCCTCTGTCAAACCAAAAGGATATCGTTACAAGACCGATAGCTGACAGAGCCTGACCCACTGAGGCTGAACAACCAAGCCGTGATCGATCAGACTGTGACACAGCCAAGTCGGCCAGGAGAGCGCCTTTCATCAAATCCAATAACGTTATCACGGAGTCGTAGCAGCACAAGACCAACATAAATCTGATACCCGGGAAGTTCGGTAACCACTGAGGAAACCAAGTAGAGGTGAAGGCGAGGGCTAGAAAAGGCCCGCAGTGGCTGATAACCCGAGCCCTCCGACTAGCAACAGCTTTGTCAGTTAGGTCCCCACTAAGAAGGTGTTTGTCGATGAGCCAACCGAAAATGGAGTCATTTACAGAATTCCAGACGAGAAATATTATCTCCGAAAACCAAAATGAAAATTTTGAGATTGCAAAGTTGGAGACAAAGACCTGAACATGATAAACGATGAAAATGTTGTGTACGAGGGATATGCAAAAGTGAATGAATCCATATGCAGTACACATCCTGAGGGACACTGCGTACGACATTTCGACGTTGCACGCCTGAAAGAAAAGTTCACTACTTATTCAGCATGAAAAATATTATACCACAGCATAAGGTGCGCGAAACTAAAACGAACGCGTTACAACCCGGTTCAACAATATGCACGCCAAACGAATAAATCCCTGTATTTTTAAAAATAGTATCTGTACAACTAGACGGAGGCACATTAACATACACATACGAACTTCATAAAAACACCGAGGTAAGAAATTTAGGGGAAGTTTCCCGGATTCAGATGTGGTTCCGCCTTGTTCCCATGAGTAGCCTATCAAAGCAACGAAACAGAGGCAACGAGCGAACTCCCACTTGCTTAAGCACGTTATCAGTGCAATTAACATGACCTTGCTCAGAAGCAAAGGAAAATGCAATGACTGCTAATTTCTTACCTAATTCCAGAACAAAACATTAGGAGAATAAAACTCCAGGAGAGCTCATAGATAGCTGGCTAAAATTGCAACACAGTTGTTGCTTTGTGAACCCAAAGAACTGCTTCTAATCAAAGGGAAAAGCAAAAAAATGCAACAATGTGCAAAATAGCACAGGCTCTAATATGACGCCACTTACACCGAACAACTTCCTCATTCCTATAGAGCAAGGTGGAAACATACCTAGAATAGTTGACTTTAAGCAAGTTTTTTAAAAGTATGGAGATAACGAGTTTAATGTCCACCTTTAATGAATTGTGTTTCTCTCTGTGAGATATACTGTTTGAGGATTCCAGATATTAACAATTAACGACATTTTTTCTAAAGCAGATTCCATCCCTACTTTTAAAACCAACGTTAGTGCAAAAACTGGTTTTCTGCATGCTCACTTTTAACCTAATAGTTTTCTTTTAATAACGCAGGTTTATCTTGTAGTACGTCTTAAAACGACTACATTGCATGTAAGAATAAATGCCTGTGAAATCAAATGTTACTCTTAGCTTGTAGTCATAGGTGAACATTTTAATCCCTTTATTTTAATAGCCCTGTTTGTGATTTCCCATACCTTGTGGTAACCGCCCAATTCGAACCTCGAGGTAGCCCTACTCTCGCCTCTTTTTTTTCCATCGTACAGATTCTCCAATATTACTATTCACTGGAATATCTTTTATTTAAAGCCTTTTATATAATGCTGCAAAGTCGTGAAGTCTTTGAGTGTCGCATTCACATTCACTTCTTCGCCATGCATGAGCTATTATTTCAACTTTTTGTTTCGCTAAATGAAAACCAACTGTTTTTGAGTGTGCCCAGATGGGATTTGTACCTTTATTTTCCTTTGGCGGTGTTTATCCTTTATAGGTAGTCTTTAGAGCTGTAATTTGATCCTAGCTTTATGTAAAACCCTTCTTCTCGCGACCGATCTGATGCAAATATCGGGCCCTGTTTAGCCTATTTAGTTCAGTTATAGTCATGCTAATGTTGAACATTGCTCTCTTATTTTAGGTAGAAGAACTCATGCAACGAGGTAGCTTAAGGACAGACAATTTTTCGGTTGAACTGTCTAGCGCAAATAATGGAGATGTTCCGCTAGTCCCTGTTCTGTCAAATGAAAATATTGAGGGAACTGACGGTGCCATTGCCAATGCTGCGATTACCGGTACTAAAAAAATTATGGACCCTGAAGTTTCTTCTGCCTCCTTGAATGGGCATGGCGACCGAGAAGAATGCACTAAGGAATGGGATGAAATGTCTGTGTCAAAAGCCACCTGCAATGAAGAAGTGGAGAATCAGGATCCATCAAATGATACTTTTGAAAAAGTTGGCAGGTGGGGAGCCGCACGGAAACCCAAGCAGATTTTGGGCTTAAAAAAGTCCCCCAACGTTTATGATAAAGAAAAGTTTGGTATACACAGCGTGTCGCAGCGGCTTATTCGAGGTATAGTGTTGATTTTTTTAGATTCTTTGCTCAGAGGCTGAGGTGCACCTTCCTGTTCATAAGCCGAAGCAGTATTCAACTTTCGTGGAATTTCGTAATGCTCTTAGGGGTAAAAAATCGTCTCCAGTGCCGTTCACTGGAGCTGATGAGTAAATATGCTAATTTTCGCGCTTGTATTTTTTAAGTAGCATACAAAAAGTCACTGGGTTGTGCTATGCACGACCCACTTTGAACGGTGGTACCGCAAATAGTGTTGGATGTCCTACTAATGGACCAACGAGCACGTCGAACTCTTATAGTGATGGGGTTCCAGCAACTGGCTCCTTGAAACTACCCGTAGGTCTTTCGCCTCCTCGACTTCTTAAAGCCGACGACGATGATGTCATTGATTTGCGTGAGTTTATAAACCTCTTGGGCCAGTTATTCTGCTACCTAATATTGTTTTGTATTACAGTTGAAGACGAAAATCCTGTTACATCTGCTAAGGAAACTCATCTCAATCAACTGTTATCCAGATTTATCGATTCCGTGAAGGCGGCAAATTTGAGTGAGAAAACTGATTCTACGAAGACTGTAGAATATTCGATTGTTACAAGGGTACGCCACCTCATTTACTATCTTCCGGTTGACCTATGTCCACTTATATATGGTAGGCATAATTTCTGTTTGATTCTATACTTTTCGAGCATACGACTAGTGTGATGCTTATTCTGTGATTTAGTTCGATTTTCCATGGCTTTGTCAGATAAATGGTTTCGTACTTATTTGAATACAATAGGTGCCAGATGCTCAGACAGGGAGACTCTCTATTCAGTTGGACACGGTCGCCTACAAGCCAAACCATTCAAAAGCAGTAACTTTCACCGATCGTCGTATGTGGGCTAGACATCGGTTGGAGTTGCAAGCGATCATGCGCTCCAAACGACTTCGGCAATATGATGAACGAATGCGGCATTATGAAGGCCCACATACTAGCTCGAAAAAGTCTGACAGTGATTTGGATGAGGTATTCTGACTTGTTTATATCCCCTAGTGATGTTGCTAATATTTGGCGAGTCGAAATAATGCCTAATGTCGATGCTTTCACTCCTACCATTTGTGGTCAAGCTCAGCGCATTTCACTATCGCCAAACTCTAACCGATGTACTTTGTCGTGCGATTTTTTACCTCGGGGTTTGTTTTTCTGCTGATTCAATAACTTTGACGTTTTCGTTGGTAGCGTTCTCGTATACAGTGTGTATGCACGTCATAGTGGCAATCTGCTTAAGATTTGAATAGTTGTTATCTCTTGAGCGTGCCGTTTATTTCTCTTTAAACTTAAGGCGATTTTTATAACAAAAAATAATTATTTGGGACCGAGTAATCTTCTCTTCATTTCTGAATGAGTTTTTGAACAGTCATAAGTTTATTTCGTCCAAATTTAAAGTTGTGCATAAAATTTCTTTTAAAGGCCGAAGAATGGTTGGAATGTGATGAGAGTGACACCTCTACAGAAACAGAAACGGAACAGGAAGAGAATGAAGATGGGAATGGGGATGAAGACGAGGATATTGATGAAAATCCCAGCGTATCAAACATTCAAAAGAAAGTGAGTCCGTTCGTGGATGATGAAGCAGAGGAGAATGATGATAGTGAAGATTGTGAAGTTGATATTGGGGCCTCACAGCAAAGTGCAACTGAAATTTGTGAGGTGAGTAATATATATCTTGTTCTCTGAATTACCGTTTTTTCACTCCGTTCATTGCGCTCCTTTCAGCTGCATACGTTTGTTTAGAAAATTGGAAGTCTTCGATCTTATAAATGACACAAACCGTAATTTTTCAGTCTCTATCTAGCAATTTTCCTGCAGTTGTCATGACATCTCAAGGGTTGGCGTCTAGAGCGCGCGTTGAACCAGGCGAATTCGACCTCTTTGCCAATGACGCAACCCTTTTTGTGGACAGTACGTCAGTAGCATTCATCCACCTAGAATCTTTAGAAGCTCATGATACCTCTAGAATGATTCCATTTGCACATCGCGAGAACCCAGCCCATTGTGACGTATCTTCTGCCAGTATTTTAAACCGTTCATGGAACGGGACGCCTTACAGTATGCTGTTTAGTCAGAAGCGGATTCCTTTGCAGGATTGTAAACAAGTCGTGTACACATCCTTATTGTCAATCCAAGCAGGCATTTCGGAGTATTCGTTGTTGGAAAACGATAAATCTAGTCAAAATATCTCGAATTTCCTACCTTCACAAACCCAAGTCAGTCTAAATTCAACACAACTTACCCTTTCCGAAGATGTAATTAATAATGATCCAGGTACGCTGGGTACATTCTTATCCACTTTCAGACAAAAAGATTAATATGCAATCAGGTGACACACAGGCGCTTGGACCAGATCCGGAGACCTGTTTAACTCATACGCAAGTGTTTGGCGAGACTGAGAAGGATCGAGGTATTTTTGGTATTTTAGGTCTATTATGCCTTTTCAGCATTATTGAAGTTTCCAGTACACATTGGCCCTTTGGTGGAAGAGCCAGGGAGACCGAAATTAATGCGAGTTCGCGATTGTATGTGATGCTTTAATATTTATTTCTTGTGTAGCTCATGAATTTACAGTCCAAAGTGATTCCTCTACACAAGCTTCACTTTGTACTCCTGGATTCGGTCATAATCCCCAAGGTGTGTTTATTTTATTTTGGATTTCTGCATGTGCGAAGTTCCGTTTCTTCACTGAAGTTCAATTCGTGACACTTCTTTTTAGATGCCAGCAACATCTCACTCTTCTCAAATTACGACAGCCAACCTTGTTTTTTGTCAGATATGCAGACGACTCAGGCCAACGCCAGACTTTCTGCGAACAATAACACCGATTTTTCCACGGAAATGGTTGATACACAGCTAGCGCTTCCAACTGACCCTCAATATCCAAGTGAGCCCCAGAAGGTGCAGTCGGCAAATTTGAATGGGAATATTTTGGTAAGAGATTTTTTTTAGATAGGTTCTTATTGTTATTTCATTATCTTGCGCATCGTCTATGTTCCTTCTCCAATACACTAATTGTTCCCATTGCTTTATTTCCAAAGGTTATTTATGAACTGTGAAGGTACCTTAATTTGTAGCTTTTATGAAGATTTTCCATGTAACAAAATTAAAAATGGAGAACTTTATGTGACTGTTAGTTTTTGGCAAAGTAGATATCAGTTTTTTGTAAACTTTTGTCTCTTGCGTGCGGTTTCATTTCTAAACATCTTTGGCAGCTTAGGAGATGAATTTTCACTTAGAGTTGTACGACCCCAGCTCCTCCTGTAAACTGATTGTACTTTTTTTCAGATTTCGGAATCTCGTAGACGTCTTAAGCGTCTCCGTCACGATTCCGGTGGAAACTCGAACGCCGAGGCAGATTTTGAATACGCCTCAAGGCGCAGGACCTTCTTCAAGATGACACAGGGCATAGAAGGGGATGGTGAGATGGGGAAGCTGTCAGATGAATCACAAGCTAAAACTATGCCCTCTGCCGACTTGGTCGACATCCTGGTGGCGGTTGGTGATGAAGGCGAGGAGGAAGAAGGAGGCGATTATCACAATTTTAGCGAAATAAAAGGTGTCGATGGAGGGACTGATTATTCCTCTAACAGTGAAGTGGAATGTCTCCACATTTCCGAACGGGAGAAAAGCCGTCCCAAGTATTTGCTTTTCGGCCATTATTTTCCGTTTTACTGGTCTCTTCGCGCCTAAGCGGTTAACTACTCGATGAGCATACGATAAATTTCAAGCAATTTTGATTTCTTTCCCTTTTTATGTGTTATGTCGTGGTTTAGACCTATTTGACTATTTTTTAATGCCATTTCGTAAACGGTCAGGATTTTCGAAGTAAAACGGGTTTTTTTAATTTAGGAACGAGAGCGTTTTATTTGATGAGATTGATTTTAGTGCATTGTGCAGATACATGCCGAAGGACTTCATCGATGAAGAGGCCGAACTCTCAGGCGATGATGCGGAGCGCGCAATTTACATGGACGAGTGGGAGGACATCGACGACGACTCTGCCACGTGCAGTCTGAAGGACTTTGTCGACGATGAGATAGACGATCGGAATGGCAAACTGCGACGCGAGGTGGAGCGCGTCTACAATCGCATCCAGAATGACGATGATCAACGGCGAATTCGCTATCTTAAGGTTTGTAGCCTTGTACTGCTCTACTTGCCCCTGGAGACGCCTATAAAAGGGTTTTGTTCAAGATGTGAAGAAGCTAACACCAGGGTCATGGACGTCCAACCTGCTGTCCTAATTTTTATTTAAGGCTTAACTGGGTTTTGTAGTAATTCTTTTAGTTAGCGTATTATTAACTTGAATCACTTAATTTAATGGGCGAGATTTTATTGCGGCCGATAATTAGCAGGAATCGTGCATTTGAGTGCCAGGTTTCCGCACTGAAATGACCATAGCTTTGAACATAATAGTGGATAACCGCTTTCTTTCACCGTTGGTTAGCACTATTTTTTCCGACTCTTCTAACTTCCAACAAGTAATCGTGGTCGACGGGTATTCTTTAGAAATATTGGTGGTGGTGCTTGTGCGCTGAATTTTACTTTATGAAATAGTGCTTTATTCTGACGTATCTTTTGTTCTTCCATGTTTAGTTGCCCAATTGTTTTCGATTTCTGCGCAAATATGACTTTCAGTCTCATTATTTTAAATGTGATTAAGTTTCATTGGTGATTATTTCGGAACTTCAAACCTTTTTAGGAAATGTTTTTCGAAGACGGGGACCTCTATGAGGAAGACGGAACAGTGCGGCGGCGTCGTTTTCGATGGAGAGGCCTTGGTAAGATTTTTTGTCTAATCCCCTCACCTCGTTTTACTCTATTAGCGAAATTCTTATCGCGCGACATTTTTGCTACTCAAAATTTTTCAATACAACCTTTGCACTCCGCGATTATTGTAGTTAACTCGTAAATTAAACAGGATTCCGGTCTCATCAGCAGCGGCAATTTGTCAGATTTCGCGTGTAGGGGAGTACTTGCGTGCAGGTATAGTCGGTATTCGTCGCCATATTTTGGTACCCGTAAAGTTTTCGTGTGCTCAGTTAGTTTTCATGACTAGTTTTTTTAATTCGAAAATATCGCATAAGTGGTCATTGATGAATTTAGTAACTGCAAAAAGTGCTTTACTTATGTGCACACAACTCATTTTTGCGATGCAATTAGTTTCATTTGCCAAAAGTTAATCCATGGATCAAATCAAATTCCTGAAATCGCTCGATTTCTGTGTCAATATTTCTTTACGTTTGTTGGCGTACGCAGTCTGCTAGCATCGTCTCAATCCCAACTGAATTGGGCAGATTATTGGTCAGTATCGACATATCTTGATTTATCATTTCCAATACGACCGCTACCAGAGCCTTGGGGAAAAAATTTGCCGTAGCATTCTAGATGTTTTAGTGCTTACTGTAGCTGCTTGGCCTCTAATTGCAAATTCAAATGCCAAACTGTTTGACGCATTCCAAGTTTGGCTTTTGAAAATTGAGACTGATGCTTGAATCCTTTTTGTTAGAAAAAGAAGATCCATTTTCCACTAGGAGGACAGAATCGGATGAAGAGAACGAAGAGGATGAGGAAGAAGGAAAGGTGGGAGGTGCGGGTGTTTTCTCTGCTTTGGTGTCCAAAGGCACCGGTGTCATGAGTCGTTGGCTACTGCAAAGCTCCTTGGGCTCCCTCTCTGAAAAGTTTCCCACTACTGAATGTGTTAGTGGTAGTAGCAAAGATACAGACACTCGCAGTTCAGTGGTTAAATCCGTTGATGGCACCAGCATTATGGAATTTGGTGGTTCTTCGGAGAGTTTTGTGAGTCTATCGCTTGTAATTATGCGTGTTTGGGTTTTGGCCTATTTTAAATCTACTTCGTGCTTTCAGGCTTCTTGCCTCGGCAAAAAAAATATTTTCTCTCAACGTTCTTGCTCGCATGCCCATAAGGAGTCACAAAGGCACCCTCTTGATCCCCTCCAGAGAAATGTTTCGGGTAGAATTTTTTAATAATGTCTCCTTGCTCTTAAATCATTATCATTTTGATGAGTTAGGCATCTGAAGCGTGGAATGCTGGTCTTGGTGTTTTTAGGAAAACTCGCCAATTTAACCTCTGGGTCAAGTTTCTTGGATTCGACAGGCAACTCTTCTCAGACACATAAGTCCTTGCCGTTAACTAAGGTATATTTTGAAAATCAGAAATTTCCATAATTCTTTTTTCTGCAGTGACTAAATCGTTTAGGAGTGTTTTTTTCTCTGCATCCACAGCATGGCTCGATTCTCAGTCGCTCGGCGACCCTTCTGCCTTCGTCTTCGAAGTCCAACGCAAAAGCCGCTCGCTGTGCACGCTCTCACGCCGACGAGGAGGTAGAGGTCGCGGACCTTAGCGTCTCTGACGCTGGCGACACCCGGATCCAGATCCCCGGATTGAGTCTCCGCAATAAAGTGGGTCTTTCCTGTTTCAGTATGAAGGAAGATAACCGTACGGCCGCCGCCCCTGTTCCGGTCTCTAACCGCACCCATTTTACCAAGTCGATCAGCCTTCAGCCTTTGCGAGCTTCTTCAGTATGTAATTTCTGTGCACCAATGCAAGCGTTACTTTACTTTAATCGTTACCAATTGTATATTTGCCGTTATATTCAAGCCATTGTTACTTCACCGCTTTCAAAGTTCGTCACCAAGTTAGTGGGTTGGCACCGATTAATGGGCGGAACGTTTGAAAATTTGTCCATATCGTTTGATGATAAAATCCGTGTATTACAAAGGTTGACCGACAGTTGTTGTTCAAGTGCTCTTGTTTACGCTGCATTTCCAACTAGGTGTAAACGTTTTTAACTGCCTTTGCATCTGTAGCAACTGCGGGTGTCGATGCTGTCTCAGCAAGGCTATTTCCTCTGGCTATTTGCAATCAAAAATAGAGCTGAAACGCTGTTTCTGAAGTATGACTTTGATGCATGCTATACTTGAGGAAAAGTAGTTTCTCTATGCAATTGCCTACATGATCTGCGAAATATGGCGTTTAGGCTTCCCACTAATCGAGCAGCGGCGTTGTTTACGTGTTAGTTTAATCTTATTCGTGTATGTCTTCTAAGATTACTTGCTAAACTCTGATGCCATTCTGTTCAAATAAAACACTTTGAGAGCAAATCTTTTTATTTTCGGGTAGATTCTGTGCTACCTTTTTTCTGGAGGATGTCTTTTTCTACTTCAGCGCCCCGACAATTGCCCAACGAACCCCTCATCTACGAATGCAACGAAGTCAAAATTTAGAAGTATTTTCGGAGCTCTTGTTTGACCCGCCTCATCGCCGTTTCTGTATTGTCTTGACCAGTTTATGTAGCATTTGAAATTGGTATTTAATACTACGTACATGTATACGTAATGAATTGCCTTTCTGGATTTTTGTTATTATAGAGGCTCAATCTTGTTTATTTTTGGGTGTTGTTAACTTGCCTTCTCCATTTCCTTATTGGCATACCTACGTAGCATAACCTGTAAGTAGTTAATATTAGTCGCATTTACTGCGAAGCGTTTTACAACGTTTCGTACCTATTCTGACAAATCCACACTTAGTCTTTTATGAGACAAGTTCGTGGTACCTTGCTGTGTATTCGTCATGTTGGCCTTTGCCTTGGATACGATACCTGTCAAAGTGTTAGTTTGGTTTCGCGCGAGGTGGCTGGAGTGTCACTTTTGCCACCCATAGTTTTATTGGTTGATAACACCAAATTAGAGGTGGTTTTAAACTAAAAACAGTTCGGGAGCGTGATTCATCATTGTCGCCACCGAAGAGAGACACTGCCGCAATGCTACTCGGTGTGATTCGACTGCTTACTGGTGTGCCGATCTACATTCGACGCTATTGGTCGGATCGAGGACGAGTGACCTTCCAGCTGCTCTGTTTAGGTTATTTTTGGCAAGTCCGCACGGTGACTATTGACCGGCCTAGTAACCTCCGAACTGTTTCGTGATGCTGGGCAAGTTTCGGGAGCTTTTGAGGAACAACCTTTTAGTGTTACTCACTGTCTTGGCGGTGGTTATCGGCACTGTCCTGGGGATAATACTACAGAAGGCTGATCCTAGTGAGGATGTCTTGTTGTGGGTTGGTAAGCCTTGACACCGTATACTCTCTTTATCTATGTTTTTACTTTACCCCCGATTATAGTCTTGCAGAATAGCGCTGGATACCCATTAGCTTGACCGATGGCGAAGTTTTTTCCAAAAATAATGGATAAAGGTGTGAATGCTTTGATAAAGAGCATGCTTTTATCGACTCTGGCAGTTCACGGTTTTTATTCGTTCGAACGTATGGTATGCTGGATCTAAAATAATCACGTATGTTCGGAGTGATGGTTTGAGGTCCAAACCTACTAAATCTCAGCTTTTGCAGGTACATGAGCGTATGTATATCAGTTTTAGCCATACTGATATTGCTATTAAAAATAGGTCATGTAGAAGGCGTGGCATGGTACTATAAAAGTGAATATTTTGGGTCAGTGCAGCTTGGGAGCACTTTCTAACTGAATCTGCACCTAGAAAGAATAATTGCTTTCTTAATTATATTCTCTCACGTAGTTTCTTTTATATCTACATATCGTTTGTCACTATGCTAATCTGTAGATGCTACGCCTAAATTAGTAGGGCTCTTGATACAATGTTTTCTTCAGTGTTAGCCTTTCAGAGTACTTTACGGAAATTCAACTTTTCTCCGTTTGGATCTGCAAGCGACCATCTTCATTGTACCTTGTCGCCTTCTACACTTGTTGTCACATCGTGCTTAGGAAATGCTCATCAAATGTGCTTATAAGTAATGAATCATTTGTTATTTTTGCAGGTATGCCAGGTGAAATCTTTATTCGCCTTCTTAAACTAACCATCATCCCACTTATCGTCGCAACTGTTATAATAGGTACGCAGTCCTTTCTTTACAGATTTCCTGCAAACATAAAATTACTCTAAAACTGTACTGATGTATGGGGTTTTTCCACTGGCAATTGTACCAAGCTATGTTATAGCCAATTCACCGTCTGTAGTAATCGAGGCTACCGTGGTTACATTGGATTTTGACCAGTGCTAGTGCAGTAGACAGAGCCCACACATCAATTTCCGCAAAGTGTAACGGCAAACTCCCTCAAAATCCGTGACCTAAGATGGGACTTGTGTTAGGTGTTGGGAAGTTTCGTGTAATGCTTAACTTTTGGTTCAATTGATGCAAAGATAACATCTCTATACCCTGTGTATTTATCACCCGTTTCAAAAAGGCGGTCACTATTAGTCCCCCTCTTTTGATGAAACATTGAAGAATTGCCGCTATATTTATTTAGTGACTTCAACATTGAATTTGAAGGAAAACGGGAAGATAAGTGCAGTGGCATTGGCCTTTATTACCACTTCGAATGTGGTTGCAGCAATTTGTGGCACAATTGCAAGCCTACTGCTCAAGCCAGGTAACAATTGCAAGTTCTATTGTGATGTGGTGCAAAAATAGCGTTGCATAATTCCCTACAATGTAATCTTATCAAGTTTTATCATGCGTATCAATGAACCGAGCACTCATTGCCAAAATGTTTGCCCGAATCACAGCTCTATAAGCAGCGGAACGAATTAGGGGATTTTTATCAGTTTGAGATTATTATTTGACGTGATGCTCGGTCTGGTTTAATGGAAGGTTCGACATTTACGGAAGTGTATAATGATTTAAAGTGAGTCAAAATACTTGCAAATTTACATTTACAGGGCACTTGGCGTCAGCAAACACATCCATCACTAACCAGACGTTTACATCAGGTACTCCACCCAAGACTTCGGACATCTTTGCCGACATGTTATAGTAAGTATATAGGCTTTACAAATTATGCATATAGCGAGTCTTTTCAATTGCTTACAGGTGCAAGTATTAATCATATCCAAGCTCATACGTTCCTTTGTAATGGGTGGAAAAACATTTTATTTCAAGGCCAATTAATTTTTCCTCAGCAGTACGACGTACAATAGGGTTTAAAACTATAAATACAAGCATTTCAAATTTCTAGTCGCCACTTTTTGTACCTAGCCTTTTTTGTACGATGGCGATATGGGTACCTACTTATTCTCTTGTCATTTTTGATGTTTTTCACCCTCGAGGGGGTTTGATTCTGTGTCGTAATTGCCTACCCAGTTTTCCATAGATTAAATAGCATCCAGACTGTATGATTTATTAAGTGTTAATCAAATTCACAAAGTGCAGAAAAGTTGTTTCTATCAAAATTTGACTCGTGTACTTTCTTCATGAGGTGCGTACGATTGTCTGAGTAGTCTAGACCATTTATTCGTGTAAAACGGGCAATGTGTGCCCATAATTTGATAGTGCTTTCCTGCTGGGAGTCAAAGCAGACCTGGCATAAATCTCTCATTTGCTTGGATTATATGAATCCCGAATGTCTTATGGATGGCTTGAAAAATGAGTGAGTTGATCATCTCTTATACCAATCTAATTCATATTTTTAGCAATCTCTTCCCTGATAATGTGCTCGGGATCGCACTATTTCAGGTATTTGTGTCTTCATGCTGTTTGTGCTAGTGAATCTGTCGATATAGATTTAGCTCTTTTCGCTCACTTCCATTCCCATTTTCCTACTTAAGGGAGAATGATACTTTTTCATGCATAGACTCCTTGTAAATGTGCACTGTATAGGATCAGTTCTTGCTGTAATTTAAATACCATATTCTACCGCTTACAGCATTTTTGGGCGTATAAAATTCCCAAATACAAAATAGATATGGATTTTTACTCGTGCATTCGCTCGACTCATTCATTGCATTACATTGGTGTAGTGCGTTCTACTATTTTCATGAGTTCGAATCCCAGGAATTGTTGTAAAAATATTCACTGGCATAATTTTGCATAAAATTATTCATTTTATTTCCTGTGCTCTGAGTAGTTCGATGACTATAATATCACCGTTGTAATTGGAACTGATTTAAGTGCATCTCGTTGAAACTGGAAACCAGGGCGGCTTTTGTCGGTCAGTATAGATTCGATCAGATGGCAAATGCAACCCACTTCCGTCGCGTGTCGTTGATGGTATCTTGTTCTACCTGGCGTCGTCTTTAATTTGAACAGTTAATTCGATTTTACGTATTCCAGTCCCGGACATCGTACGTTGCTGCAATTCTTGGATCTGGAAACGAAACAGTGCAGCGAGCAATACAAAAGGTAGACTCAGTGAACATGTTGGGTAAGTATTCATTTACTTCGTCGTTGTTTGTTTCACCGTAAGCGAAATTATGGCTAATGCTTAGGACAAATGACGTTAATATAGGCGCCGAACGACTTGAGATTGATAATACTTGGAACCATGCGTCAATTCTTTTCTCAAATGAGTGTGTAAACAAGTATTGTGTAAATCGTAAAAATTTGGATTGATGTCAGCAAACCATCAGTTTGACACAGTGACATTTGTGGTCAAAGGAGCAGTATTCTCTGATTGGTTAAACGTTGAATCAGGGCATCCATGACTTGCCATGACCTTATATCGGATCACTATTTGTGGCGTGGCCATTCTGATGTAGCCTTAACGTGGGGACATTGTTTCATGCCTATTTTTGGCCCTTTTTATTGTTTCGTAACACCTAAATATTTTTCTCTCTCAGGTCTTCTTTTCTGTTCCTTCGTTTTTGGAACCGTGGCAGGAAGCTCTGGCGAACAAGGAAAAGCGTTTTTGGACTTTTTTAAGTCTATTTCGTCCATAATTTTTAAGATCATGAACATTTTCCTACGGTTCGTCTTTATTTGTCGGCCTAAGTTTTCACAGGCTTTGTCAGAGACTTCGCACCTTAAATACTCTCTTCTATGTGGCATATTTTTTCTTTAAAACTTCAGTGAATGATGCTTATCTAAAATGAGCTTATTTTTAAACAAATAAGTAGGACATTCATTGAAACGGCGGTAAATCGAGTGGCTTTTTTGAATTATCAACACCTCACTTTTTGCTACTGACTACAATGATGTAGAGAGAGGAGGAGCAAAATAATTTTGGGAAACACCAGAGGTGTCTTAATTTAAATGTTGATGTCTAGAGCCAACAATGCGTAGAATCCTACATAAACAATACACTATGGGAGGAAGGCTGTGCATGAAATAATCAAAATTGGTATTCAAGGGCGAAAACTGTACTTATCTGTGTTCTGACCTAGCCTTTTAAAGTAGGGAATTTCTACGTTGCTTTACTTCACCGTATGTCACACAAGCTTGCAAATATTTTACTGTTTAAATACGGGATACCCCTCGATTATTCACTTTCAGTTGGACTTTTTGAGTTTTTGTTGTGTTGCTGCTTCAGCTTCACCCCCTTCGGTGTTTGCTCCATGATCGCGGGCCCAATCGCCGGTTTGCGCGACTTAAGCGGCACCTTTAGTCAGCTGGGCCTTTTCATGGTTACGGTCATTGCGGCTCTCGTCGCCCACATGACCATAATCTTCATCATCTACGCCGCATTCGCTAGGTTCAATCCCTTTCGCCTCCTGCCCTACTGCTTCCGCACCTGGCTCATCTCCATTACCACTCTCGCCCCGTGAGTCTACTGGAATACGCCTCATCTATGTCTCACGTGTTTACGCGTTACGCTATCTAGTTATAGCGAAATATTTAACAAATCGTAGTTTTTAGAAAAACGCTAATGAAATCAAGGCTTTTAGGAGCAGTTATTTGTTTGCGATTTCATCTTTGGGTTGTACTTATTCGGTGTATTGACCTTAGTGTTGTCGCCATTCCTGACATGTACAATGCCAGTGACACTTTCGGAATAGACCCTAAGGTCTCTCGATTCGTTGTTCCACTCACAGCAGCCTTGAAAGGCGATGGATCAGCCGCTTTTCTCGGTGCTTCCGCTATTTTCATCATTCAACTTACCAATACACCGATAACTCCCGCGATGATCGTTATCATCATGTAAGTCGAAAGTTACTTTGATGACTGCTGCCTGGTTTACTAAAAAGTGTTCACACATATATGGTGTAGATGTATGGTCTAAAGTGAACGAACATGCTTAATGATACACTCTGATGGATATTTCTTAATTTGTATTGAAATTGGGGTTAGTAGTTTTTTCATTGGGCAAGTATGCTTAATTATTAAAACTTTCTCGAGCTTTCGTTCAATGCATGTTTTTTGCTTTTCTCCATAGCTTACTTAGTGCTTCAGCAGTTTTTACGATCCCAAACATCCCAAGCTCTAGTTTGGTCATTTTGGTAACGATTCTTGCATCACTTGGAGTGGCAGTCAACTACGTTGGTTTGCTGTTCGCGATTGACTGGTTTATGTAAGTTCAAGTTAAAAAGCTCTCGCTGCATTTTTATTTGTTATTACCGTGCACGCGCACACCCGTTCAATAGAATATGAAGAAGATACAGCTTAGGGAAGCAGAGTGACATTAGGTGCATGATATGTTGTAACTTATCCATCAATTATACTTTCATTCAAATCTGTAGTTGTCTAGGTCTTTGGCTAAAGACACCAATTTTTGGGAGCAGCCTAACTTCTCAATTGCAAATAGATACAAGTTATTGCTAGTAGCGATTTATTAGGAGATTGTTTTAATGATATCCAATCTCTGTTTTACAGGCCAAAAATAGAAATATGCGTTCAATGTCTTTTTGCCCTATGTAGCAAATTTG